TTTTGTGTCCCTTCATGAAGCAGACCACAAACAAATCTGTCACGCAACGCCTGATTCAAAAAGTCTCCATACTCACAATGTGTTGACAATCGTCTCAGTTCTGATAGATATTCACTAACCTTCTCACCTTCAAGTTGGTTTCTTTTCATGAACTTGAATCGCTCAGCAATTACCAAAGGCTTTGGAGCGTAATAATTCTGTAAATGGCCCTTCAGCTGGTCATAACTCAGCGTGCTGGGTAACTCCGGCGAAGTTAAACTTTTTAGCTTTGCATACGCTGTACTGCCAATAACTGTTAGTAACACTGCAGCTTTCTTGTCATTTTCTATGTCATTGACTAAAAAATATTGCTCTAACCTCTCTATGTAGCACTCAACATTTTCTTTACTATCGTCAAATTCATTTAGACGGCCAATCCTCGCCATCCTTGTCGCCAGAATGTAATATCTTCACAACTGACTTTATTACTGAACCATGTGCTTCTGTCTTACATGCTCACTAGAGGGCGCACGTCATGACAAGCCCAAACTAATATACTACAATTTTAACTAATTGTGAGAGAAAAGAGAATTGTTTTCAGCATACAAATCACCGCAACCTGGGTGATCGGAAACCAATGCTGAAGAAGACAATGTCTTGCTACACACATCGTAACCATATGACAAATCTTAGCAATACACTTTACGGTCAAAATGCAAGCCCTTGTGAATGTTTTCTGTGAGATAAGATCATGTCACTGCTATACAAGTCTTACTAAAACGTTCGTTTCAGTCCCTTCTCGTACATTGCGGCATTTGTAAACAAAGTCGCAAATGGGGTACTTTACGTCGTAAAAGACCAAGCGCTCACTGATACGCAACGCATTGTTGACATATTCGTAGCGCTTCGACCAAAATAGCATCAAATATTACATACAGATTTCTTAAAAGGATGAATGACGTATTTTATTGCATGTTACATTTTCATAATTAGCCGCTATCGCAAAAAACTACTCATGCGCGAAATCTGCACAGATCGCAAAAAAAGCTAATATGAGAGAACGTCCTTAATTCTATTATTTTGAACATTTTTTTATCATTTTTGTGTACTATTTATCAGTCACGATATGTTCTGTCCAATCAAGGCACCAATCCTACACTATAAGTGCCCGCTACCAGGTGTCCAGAACCGCGCAAATTTAGATATGAACGTAATTTAGACTTGAGCTCGAAATGCGGACACCGTTGGGTACTTTAGTTAGGATATCGCTTTAGTATATAGCCTTCCAGATTCGCGGTCGAAACCTTTACGTCTAAACGCTACAGAGGAAATCCACACTGACAAAAATGACCAGTTTCAATCGTTTAATGTGAACTCGTTGCCTGCTCAGGTACATTCTGATCCCCTATTCAATATTACACACTTTTAGTACGTACTCCAGCCAATGGCTTCATGCACTTCTTGTCACTGGCTTCTTAATGCGACAGGTAAACAAGGTACTCAGCCTCTTCAAAATTGACACAATGTATTATACAGAATACAATAAAAGTTATGGCTTGAAATTATTGACATCGTCTATGAGTTATTAAATGTCTCCGACACAGGGTCACAGATTGGCTTTACAGTAGACATTCACAAATAGCCTACATGTAAGTTTCTTGTTAAATGATGGAATATTTCTGCATTGTGACCCTGTTATCAAGTTTCAAGGATAATTACCTGGCTGCTAATTTTTTGCGGAACATATTATGCACTTGACAAGTCCCTGCCAAGCCCCCCCCCCCTTTTAACCCCAAAACATATTTCAAAGCGCCTGTTTTGTCTTATTTTTCAACGCGTTTAGTTCCTAAGCATGTTAAGGAGCATTCACATCGAAAAGAGTCGAGGTCTAGTAAGACCGCTACCTAAATATGTTTAGCAGTATGACGCGCTTGATGGCTAAATTTATGTAGGGTGCTTATGTAGGCCCTATTGCCCTTAGGTGAGGGTTTGACTGTTTAACTATATACAGGGAGATAGATCGATCCAAACATCTGTGGGAATGGTCCCTTATAATTTACTTCAGTTTTCATCAAATACTGGGTATTTCCGTAATGATAGTCGGAAGATTCTACAAATCGCACCGCACAAGATTGGCCAGGGCTGTTGTAAATTTATGTTATATAATGCAAATCAAGCCTCATTTGAGATGGATAATGTGGCACTGTTATTGATGTTAAAAGGCTGAAACTAATTAATACCCATGACAAAATGTTGCCTTAAATTAATTCTATACATTACGTCATATATATAGGCTTTTATATGAACATCGTATCATGTTTTTTATAATTAATATTAGTGACTCTACATCAACTCAATATTTTAATTACGATCCATGTCTAGCATCACGACGACCAAAATACAGAGTTGAACCAACGTCACATTTTGATGTGGCTGGATCAACATGGATTTGACATTGAATTTAGGTAGATCAACGGCTCTATGCATTCTGCTGCCAGCAGCCACCCTGAGCAGACAATAAACTTGGTCAAGCTGCCCACTAAACTTCAATCCTCTCTGAACTATTCCAGTCGTTGGAAGAACAATAGTTAGGTAAGTGGTCTATTGTCTGAAATATAACTGGAGTCAATTTTTAAATGTATACTACAAGTTATTATCTGACCCAGGTAACTAACTACTAATGTAAAATTTATTCCACGTTTTGTTTCTTCAATTTATGAATTTGTCACACTTTTTATCAGTTTTAGGATGCATATCTGGATTGTTCGTATACATCAACCGATTGTGTTTCATGGTTTTCAAATCCAAAATTTTGTCTAATAGCTCATCTAGAAGTATCAAGCTAATGTTGTGGACTCTTTCATGGTGAGAAAAATGCCACAACTGATTCTACATTGGTGCTGTAACAATAGCTGCCTCCGCAGCAGCGCATAAGATTTCAAAATGGCCACCATAGTATTTATCTATTATCGTGACTTGTGATATAGACATACGAATCGCCCGGCGTCATGGGCCCATAAGTCACCGAAGTTTTACACATGTCAGAAAGAAAACAAAACAAAATAAAATTTAAAAAATGTGATTTAGGTTGAAAGCAAAACTTTATAAATTATGATACACTCAACTCTTGAGCTATAAATAGGCAATTTGTCAAACAGTGTGGTATATATATATATAAGTATAATTATTTATAGAAATAAGGCGTTGTGACTGACAAATAACGTATCCAAGCAATTTTACCCCCCCCCCCCCCCTTGGTGCAACCGGCCATAAAGCGCATTTATGCCAAACACAAAGTGAGTGTTTGTTTCAGTCTACCCAAAAAACTTATGCAGATCTTATGTCTCCCTAAAGACGAGGCAGACCCAAAAAATATGTCAGCGGCGCGACCTATCATATTAAGGCCGGTGATAGGGTTAAATACGCTTAAAATCATGTTTTTGAGTTTTTTGTGTGTTTATATCAATCAAAAAAAGTATCTAACGTTGGATGTAATAATTTTTATGAATTTGCATCGCAAAATGCGTCTTTTGATGAGTTTTTCAACCGGCACGCGCCCCAGTCAGGCTGACAACTAAGCCACGCCTCTGTTACTAAGGGCCGTTGCCATGAGGGGGTCGGAGCACAGTTAATGAGTTATAAGCCGATTACGTGTGCGGTAATAGGTCATAAGTCTTACATCAGCTTAGCAGCGAAGAAGTCTAGCTAGTACACTATGGGGAAGAGAAAAGTTCGTGTTAAAAGCCCCTTTCCGGAGGAAAGAAGGGAAATTTAGAGAGTAAGGCCTATGCATGGCGGGGAAAACCGGCCCTATTTGTTCAGTCGGATGACTGATTTCTGTATACCTAATAAATGGGTGAAAGAGTTAATCGAATCGTCTAAATTAATTGACAAATGAAAGAAAAATCGATAAATACATAGATAAAAAAAGCCAAAAAAAGTCTAGCCTTTAATTTTTGCGATATATATCGTCGAGCGTATCTGCGACACGTTACGAAACCGGACAAAATAAAATTTTATTCTCCAAGATATAATATCATGGAGCTTGAGAGCACGCGAAAAATTGTGATTTGAATGGCCAAACAAGAGAAATCCAAGCAAAGGTTGACAGCATGATTAAAACAATGAAAATTAAAACGCATGTTAGCGGCTTTGCATTTTGCGATATTTGGAGAAAAACAATTTCAAAATCACTGATCAAGCTGGAAGAAAGAGTTCAAGTGTCGAAAAATGAAAATCACAAAAAGACCCCGAGAATAGTCAAGACTAGCACGTAAAAAGCAAATAGGGTCTAAATGTCATGTGTAAAAATAAAATATTTATTCAAAAGCCTTCTCTCAGCCACTTTTACCGCTGAATCTTGTGCGGCTGAGCGTCTCCCCTTTATCTTAGCTGGCATTTTGAGAGAGACCGCTCTGAAGTAATCACTGGATTTTTCCGTTGATCTGACGACTACCAAGTGCCGTGCAAAATAATCCTGCAGCGTTACCCGTCAAAAAACTCGTATCAACACCAGTGGCGGACACTTGCTCTCGACACAGTTTTATCTGATCACTTTGCCGATAACAAAGAAGGAGTCTCTCAGGTAAAATTACTCGATTGCCGAGGAAGACCCATTGAAACGTTCAAATGCAACTTCACACCTCTTAATTGCGGTTAAACGTAATCGCCTTTGTTAGCGCTTCCTTCTACATATCCTTGACACCCTACGGGGCATCACTAGGCTAGGGCCCTCTCCAGAGCTGTCAATCAAAATGGCGGCACGCTTACTTTCCTAACGAGTGGTCGGAAAATGCAACAAAAGCACGATTTTCTGCCCCTTCAAAGCACCCAAACAAAATATTTTTAGATGACAAGAAGCAATGGTTCCATCTGATCGTATAACCGATAACAGGTAAATTTGCCAGCTAAGCATTTGACTAATAAGCCCTGTTAACCAACCTGTGAGCGTTTTTGGCTGTTTTAACAGCTTTCTATATTGACGAGATAAGTGAATCGCTGCCAAGTATATCTCACTATCTGAGCAACCGATCGTTACAAAAGTTGCACCTATTGTTGTTAGGAATGTGGACTACAGCATGATATCAGGGGTTTAAGAGGAAATTGTTTGTTTGAAAGTTATTGCCTTTTGAAGTGAATAAGCCATTGAAATATGGGCTGATTTAACGTAAAAGATGATAAAATCAAAAGTAAATAGTTTAAGACAATTCCCTGGCACCCCGCTGCAATGCCTTCACCCAGCTTTATGAGGCCTTTTGCATCACTTGAATAGCTGTCTTGGTTATAGAGAAAATCCCGAAAACGGCATTTTTCCCCCTCAAATTGGCGCCAGAGCGTAATCCGTTGGACACTGTACTTAATCCCCGTCTTTAATTGGCTTTTTCGGAAGTTTGTTTTAATTTTTTATAAAAACTTATAAGCCCAGGGCTTTGTTTCTATGACTTTG